ATGGCCCGCCTCAAGCTCAACTACTGGGATGCCGTCGTCGCCGACTGCGAGACGCCTCGCCCTCAACGCCACAACATGAAGGCATCGTACTACCTGGCGCAGGCCCTCGTCTCGCTGCAGGACTTTGACGGCGCGATCACCGCCGCCATGCGCGCACACGCCCTCTGCATCGAGACGGGCGACAGGTCGCTCGCTGCCGTCACGGCGCTGGTGCTACGCTGCAAGAAGGAGAGGTGGGAGCACAAAGAGAAGAGGCGCAAGAGGGAGGACCAGTATCTCGAGGTCGACGTCATCGAGACGATGGAGCGCGAGAAAGAGAGGGCACTTGCCGCGGCGGAGAGCGAGGGCGAGAGGGGTGACGTGGCGGCCGAGTGGGACGCCAAGATGACTGACATTCGGAGGGTTTTCGAAACAGCGAGGGCCCGGGGCGAGCAGAAGCGCGAGGTTCCCGACTGGTTGATTGACGACATCACCTTTAACGTTTTTGTTGATCCATGGGTTGTCAGTGTTACTCCCTGGCGCTCCCTCTTGTCTCTTCTCGCTCTGACTAACGTGAGCCCGCAGACCAAGACGGGCAAATCCTACGAAAGAGCATCTATCATGGAGCACCTGCGCCGCCATCCGAGTGACCCCCTCACGAGGGAGCCGCTTCAACTCGCTGAGCTGCGGCCGAACCTGGCACTGAGACAGGCGGCCGAGGAATTCCTGAACGAGAACGGCTGGGCCGCTGATTGGTGAGGGACGCATGAGTCGGAGTCGAGCCTCGGAGTACATGCAGCGCGGAGGTCATCTTTCTTTTCTCTCCAGCGATTCCTTGGCATATCTAGTCTGTTCAGCATAGCATGGCATGGCGTTTGGGCCTCGACAGAATTTCAGCGAGGCAGCACAAACATGGTGACGGAACGATGCTTCTCTTGCCGCGTCCATCCTCCCTCGTCACAGTGCAAAACCTGATCACCATTGCTTCGCACGGTAACCGATAATTGTCGCTTCGCCCACCCCCTCACCAGGGCGAGGCTCGACTGAATTTTCCTCCAAACCACACGCGCATCGGCTCCAACAAGGCTTGCTTTGTACACTCCTCGCGCGCAAACGAACTGTCGACGGTTGCCACTGACTCTGGATGAACCGCCGCAGCTCGTGCCTGGGAAAGAAGCTCCATGCGGCTCATCAACGTCAGGACCAAAGAGATCACGCAATTCTACGGAGATGATACGCCGCCGTACGCCATCCTCTCCCACACGTGGGCAGGCGACAATGAGGTCTCCTACCAGGAGTGGACAGCCCCCCTGAGACCGACATTCAAGCCGGGATACCGCAAGATCATGGCCGCCTGTTTGCAAGCCGAACAAGACGGGCTCGACTACCTGTGGGTAGACACAAACTGCATCGACAAGACAAGCAGCGCCGAGCTGTCGGAAGCCATCAACTCCATGTTTGCGTGGTATGAAGCGTCCGCCGTCTGCTACGCCTATCTCTCGGACGTTGACGGCAATGATCCCTTCGGCGTGGCGCCTCTGCCCCCGATCGAGGGACTCTCCCTCTCCACAGAGCTCAAACGGAGGGGACCGACTTTGGAGCTGCGCGCCAGCCGCTGGTTCACCCGCGGCTGGACCCTGCAAGAACTGCTCGCGCCCCCGAAGCTCACCTTCTTCAATCGCCACTGGAAGGACATTGGCACGCGCCAGGAGCTGCGCTTCCCCATCTCGACCATCACGGGGATCGACGTCACCTACCTCGGGCAGAGCCAGAAGATCTTCTCCGCCAGCGTCGCCGCGCGCCTCAGCTGGGCGGCGAAACGTGAAACGACGAGGGTCGAAGACACGGCGTACTGTCTGCTCGGCATCTTCGACATTCACCTGCCGCTCATCTACGGCGAAGGGTCCAAGGCGTTCCTCCGGCTGCAGGAGGAGATCATCAAGAACAGCGACGACCAGACCATCTTCTGCTGGACCTGGGAGGCTGACATGGTGCCGCACGGCTGGCTGTCACTTCTGGCACCCTCGCCAGCCGTCTTTGACTCGGGAAAGTTTGTTCCCGCCCCGGGGAACCACAGTTCCGCGCCGTATCAGATTACCAATGTCGGACTGCGCATCAGGCTTCCCGTCGTTCTCGCCGTCCACACCGTCTGCGCAGTCTTGGATGTTGTTAGTACAGACGATACCGATCCAGACAAGCGAAGGCGCATGTGTCTGCCGCTCTTGGTCGAAAATAACGTCTACCGGCGAGTTGCTCTTCCCGGGCGCGCTTTCCCGATCCACTCAGCCATGATTTCCGAGGTGCGAAATCTGTACATCCTCTGCAAGACGCCGAGGGATACCTCGGGCATCAGCATCCTGCCGTACCGCCCGCGTTTCGAGTACGGCTTTCACATCACAGTGAGGGTCTCCAGGTTCGAGGGCAACGACCCGCCCCTGAGCGTCGACTGTCTCGTCCCCCAGTACCCTCAGTCGCCCTTCTCCCACATTTCGACACCCGTGTATAGTGTCGTGGGGTTTCCGAGGCCCGCTCGAAAGCGACATCAACATCCTCATCCTGCGCATCCGGTACAAGGATCAGAAGATACCCATACTGCTGTCGGTGGGCATGCGCGGCGGGGCGACCGACCTGGCACTGTGAGATCCTGCCGTACGGCTTCCTCGCCTTCGACAAGGAGCGGTGGCTGGTCGAGATTGACAAGATGCGGGCAGCAGGTCGCAGGGCCACAGCTTGTGGTACCAACAAGGTGCGCAACGGGGGCGTTG